GAAAAGTCCAAAGTAGGAGTGGGGCAGAGGAGAAAGACCTTTATGTGCCTTCTCATGCTCTTTTACTTTTTCTTTTTTTTTTCTTAGTGGTCACTTCTTTACCCACCCTACAATTAAATAGAATTTATACTATCTTTTTCACTATTCGGCTTTTGCAATTAGGTCCTTTCTTGTGTTAGACTCATCCTAACCCACGTAGTCTGGGACAGCATCTGAAACACCTTGGGCCTCCAGAAATGTTTGTTGGATGACTGATTTTTACATTTTAAAAGTCAAAAACCTGGTTTACATTTGTTCAGTAGAAAAGTTAGTATTGCATACTATATTATACAATAGGTGCTTACCAAATGATTTTTAGAACACTGGTTAACATCACAGTAGATGGCAAAATTTAAAATGAAATTTCTCCAGTTTTAGGACTAGTGTGGGTATCCAGCCATTTAAGCACATGGAAGAAAGCCTTGTGTCATTCTTGACCATCCCTTTTTGCTTTTTAATTGGGTAGAATTTAATTTATACCCCTACCCAGTCCCACTTGATGGCTAGTGAAATCATAGGCCTCTTAGAAGAATACAATTCAAACTTCAGGGCTCTTGAAAAGCACTGGGGTAGTTGAAAAGCTTGTAATTCCCCCTGTTCCAAAGTTTCAGCTAGCAATGCCTAGAATCTGAATATCCTCCAGGGTTAAGTCCTTTGATTGTATAACACCTCCCGTAGATCCTCTCCCTTCCTGCCTTGAGTGGATGCTGCCTTATTTGGCTTTTCCCTGTGGCTGGGTTTTATTGGAAGCTGTGTATTTTTATATGATTGCTTACACTATGCAGATATAAATTACTTTTTGGTACACTCAGTGAAAGTAATGATCTTTTAAAAAATTCACACAGATTAATGATTCCACAGTCATGGTGATATACTAGAGGTACCTGTTTATTTGTATGTTGATATTTAAAATATATAGATGGTATGATAAGGACAGCTTTATTAATTTTCTTTATAAGCACTATAATATAATAGTTCATTTTTCCATACATAGCCTCCAATTATCTCCTTGATACCGGAGAATAGCCACAATCCACTTTTCATTTTTATTACCTACCAGTTAATTGCACTAATAGGTTTGCTTTGCATCTCTACATGATTTTCACTAGACAAATTGGCAAGCGTTAACTCTTACAGCTTTTTAGTTAGTAAGCATTTAAGGCTTTTTAATGAGAAATTAGCAAAGAAAATAGATTTGTAAAAATTTTACATAAATGTGCTTGCTAGCCTCAAAATTCCAGAATACTACTTCTAACTTTTACTTTTTTAGAAAAGAAGAGGCTTATTTGGGACCAATAAATTTTGTCAGGTAAGGAGTATTAGTAGCTAGAGCTACATGGTAGGGTTTTTCTCCTTTAAAACAAAAGCATTTTCAGCATTATTTACCAATGAATCTCAGTCTTTTCAGTCCACAGACAGCTTTGTTGTGCAGTGTGAGCTAACATGAGCTAATCTAATTTGAGTGTTTAAGAAGGAATTTGTTCATCTAAAAATGATGTAAACATCTTAATAAAGATGTTTTGAAACATTCATTTTCAATAATCAAATATGTATGAATGTCAAGTAAATTTTAAAAAATTAAGAATTTGTCAAATAATTGCAAAACCTGAAAAGATTTTTCCAAGCGTTCTATGTATGAAATTATCATTATATATAGTTTGACTATACTAAATTGAATCACTTGCATATATCACTATTTATCACATTTTAAGATTTATGAGACTGTTTTAATTTATCTTGAATGTTTTATCCATCCTGAAAATTGATGACTGAATAAAATAATTACCATTGATTTAGTTATACATATCTCATTATGACTATAGAGAACTGACATTGTTTTAATGAAGCAAAAAATATGAGTTAATGTAAGTGTACATCATAATTATTTTCATCTAATGTTTAGAGTATTATAAGAATAAGGAAAATATTCAGGTTTTTACCACCATATACTTTAAAAAGAGAGAGAGAGATCTGAAAACATTGTCTATGTCCTTGCCGAGCCTGGATCCCAATGAAATGACTCAGGTATTTGTAATTATGGCATCAAATAGAAAACACACAAGATATCACCACAGCAGTCAGGTTCAAGGTATCAGAGTATCAGTAAGTGGAACATTTCTTTTTTGTACCACTTCTTTCAACTAAATCACGTTCCCCAAAGGATCGATAAGAAATAAAATTATAGCCCTGGCTGGTGCAGCTCAGTGGATTGAGTGCCAGCCTGCAAATTAAAGAGTCACTGGTTTGATTCCCAGTTAGAGCATGTACCTGGGTTGCAGGCCAAGTTCCCAATGTGGGGGGGTGTGCATGACAAGCAACCACAAATCAACATTTCTCTCCCTCCTTTTCCCTCTCTCTAAAAATAAATAAATAAAATATTTTTTAAAAGAAACATAATTATAGAATTCTGTGAGGAGCAACAGAGAAAGATAAAAGAGATTTAGGCAAGGAAAAACAAGTGGATGGTTTCCTGAAATACTACCTATAAGAAAAAAGAGAATTAAGTGGAAAATAGAAAAAAAAATCTCTTCTAAGTGAGAAACACAGGGGATGAAATTCTTATATGGCAGGTGACTAGTGATGAGGCAAAAGGCTGTGTTTACTTAGTTGATTTTACGGGTGCAAGTCGAAGTACGTATATGACGTGGAGAAGCCAATTCTGGTTCGAGTTTCTTGAAGGAGCCACCTTAGTGCGCTCTGCAGGGAGCAGCTGCTGGGAGCTGGTCTGCCTCTGTGGTTGGAGCACTCAGCCTCCTTACAAGACAACTTTCAGGGCCAAGCACGTAAAGGGAACTGTTGAGGCTGATGTGCGAACATGAGATTGAAGTAGAATAAATTTGTATCAGGGGTTACTTTTTAAATCATGTAGGCAGCTAATTTCAAAAATTCGAAGGGAACATGTATATTGAAGAGTTAAGTTGGACCTGACAACAAATATCTTGGTTTACTAAAACTTTTTTAAAAAATTTAGATAATTAAAGTTTTCATTTTTAATGTTAATGTTTAATATATTTTTTGAAATGAGTAATAGGAAAGCATGTACATTAGAACTGTGATTTTATAATTATTGCTATGTTTTTAAAAGTTGATTTTAATTTGATTTAAGGGAAAATATTAACAGAATAATAATACAATAGTATATGAACATCACAAAAATAAAGTGGCATGTGAAAACTGGTATTTGAGAATATTCATAACAGTTTAATCCACATCTTTCACACTTTTTTATAGAGCCTGAGAACAGAAAATAGAATATCTCAATTAAATGCTCTTATTTTTTAACTTTGTAGAACAGTGTAGTTTCTTCATGCTGCCAGCATAGGTAGGCTATTTTATTTCCTGTCCAAACTGGTTTTCCTTTTTTTGTAACAATCAGAAAGTATAGTTTCTTATTTTACAAGTGAATAAATGAGACAAGTATATGCGCTTGTGAGGAAACTAAGAAAGTGGGTAGGGTTTTTCTTACATTTTGAGATTTCCTTTGCCATGGAGGCTTGATTTTATTTTTTTATTCTCATTAAATAAAATTTAATGTAATCAATTATTGCCTTGGACAAAATCTCCAGGTTTATTTTACACTTGGTAGTTAAACATAGTACTCTTAACAATTGTTTTCTCTTTTACTTCTTAAATTATTACAGATAAAATGGACTTTGGGGGAGTTTGTATAGCTTTATAACTTTTAAAACATGTATAGATTTGTGCAACTACCCCTACAAGCAGGTTATAGAATCATTCTATGGTCAGAAAACTCCTCTCTTCAAAATTTTGAAGTGTCCTAAACCACAAAACTTTTTTATAGTGACAGTAGTCTGTCATTTTTCTTAAACTGTAGCAAAAAATAGGCTACTTTACAGTTCAACAATTTTTTACTCCATCCTTCTTTCTAATGTATTTAAGTTTTTCTAAATGCCAGTTTTGCACTTTGTTGATTTATACTCCTGACCAGGGATAGTCTTTATTTTTCCTCTCTCCCAAATATCATCTGACCTGGTCCTAAGCTCGGACCTCAGGAGATTTCCTGGACGATGGTGTCGGTTCATGTTCCATCTGTTCATAAGTTATGCTTTGTTCACCATCCACATTGTTTGTGAACTGCCAGTTGTCCATTGTTAATGCTGGAGATTATTGTCTGGCGCACATAAGAGAATCGCTGCTGTTTCTCTTTATCATAGGCCTTGCATATCGTGCTTTTTCTTTTCCCAAGTATTTTCATGGCTTTGAGCCATACTTTTTCTATGATTGAGTATTTTAATCACTATACTGAACATGCATATGCAAACCAAAAGGGAGGTATATGCAAACCAAAGGGAGGAAAGTCACAAGTTATAAGTCAAAAAACTTTACTTGGTCAGTATTTAAACAAGGGTTGCATATTAACCAATCTGTTATGGGCATTTGAGTGTACAATTTTGAATTCATTTCAATTAGAAGGAACTTCATCTATATAGTACATGAAAAGTAATACATTATTTTTAAGTAAGAATCCATATTTTCTGAGTTGTGATATGAGCCTGAAATTTATTTATGTTGGTCATAAATCAAAATTTAGGAAATTAAATATGGACTGTAATAATTGTCATTGAGGTCATTTCAGACTATCATAAGTATTTTCACCTCATTTAGGGAAAACATTAACATGTTAATTTTAACCTTGACCTTTGGATCTTAAATTTCCTTGTTTTATGACTCTTTCAAGGTTTTTCAAGGCTCCTTCTATAGGTATGATTGCTTGGGACAATGGATTCTCCTATGATTTGTGTTAGGATTTCAAAGCAGCCTTTTTGTTTTGGTTTTTAATTTCTGGAAACAAATACATACTATCGAATGAGATTCTTTATTATCCTTGCCTGGGAATGAAAAGTTAAAGCCTTAAGGAACAATACAGCTGCTTTTACTTGTTCAGACTATTATCTATCCTTTGAAGTTATGAATTGACTATTTTATCATTTGTTCTTCAGATGGATCCTGTGCAAAAAGCAGTCATTAACCACACATTTGGAGTGTCCATTCCTCCAAAGAAGAAACAAGTTATTTCTTGTAATGTCTGTCAGCTTCGCTTTAACTCTGATGTGAGTATCACCTTTTCATTGCTCTCTGTAGTGTGTCAAGCTGAAAGTCTGATTGTTCTGAATATATACATTTCTTCATATTTGCACACTCTCTAGCAGCTGCTCTGGGCCGCTTATTTCATTGTGCCAGATTTCTGAGGAATTTGGGTTCAACACTAGAAACTTGAGCAACAGAGTGCCTAATATCAGAAAAAAATCAAGGCTTTCTCTCTGTAGTCAGTCTTACCTATATCATTTTACACTTAGTTTCTCCCATTATATTTACTTTTGAAAAATACTTAAATAGCAGAAAATATTTTTTAAAGTTTAAAATTAAGTGGAAACATGAAAAAAATTAAAATGCAAGGAATGCTGAAGAAAACCATTATTATTACTCTTGATAAGGCTCACATTTCTTGTGTGTGCCAAATCATATTAAATACCTGAGAAAATAAATCACTCTACAATTTGTATTTTTCCCAGACATGGAAATACAGAGAAAGGTTTATAAATTATTTTATCTGGCCTAGCCTAATTATCCTATTTTTAAAAATAAGAAAAACATTAATCTTTTATGAAAACAGATTTTAAAATTATAGATAAAATAACATAAAATCAAAACACATAATATTAGAATGTTTATAATAATGCCCAATTACTAAGTAAAGTCAATGACCAATGCAAATCTGAATCTGGAGATAGTATATTATACATGATATTTCTTGAGTTACTCTACCCCGAGGCCATTTTGCAGAGAGTATGTTACAAGATTCCTGTTTGTTGGAAATACTAAAATAATAAATACTTCTCTATACTACTGTATAATTGCACTTACATAACTTTCTGCAAAAGACAAAACCAAGGAGACAGAAATCAGACCCGTCGTTAGCAGGGACTGTGGGTGGGGTCAGGGCCCTGACGGCGGAAGGGCGTGAAAGAACCTCGAGTGAACGTCTTCATCGTTGTGGTAGTTACATAGCTGCTTGTGTTTTTCAAAACTCACAAAACCCAGTACCTAAAAAGGAGTGTTACTATATGTAAAGTATAACTCAGGACACCCGACTAGAAAAAAAATCAATATGCCAAGAAACATGAAATGTTTTGTAAATAGAAGGCTAATTAATTAGAGACATAGCTACTAGAGATCTATTAAAATACAATATTATTATTAAATTTAAGGTATAATAATTAAAGGACTTTTGCAAGAAAAGATAGAATAATAAATACTGAAATAGATCCAAATATATTTAATGGCTTTGCATAGTTATTATCCAAATTTCTACATTCATACAGAGAAATTAAATTTGTGTAACTTTATGACTAAAAAAATGAAAATATTCACCACTTAAGTGACTCCCTGTGAAATGAATGCCCCCTGAAGACAAGCTTCGCATTTAGCGCTCACATTCCCAGTGCAGGAATGCTGGCTGTTGAAAATATCTTATACCACAGTGCAGGAGATTGCAAAGTGAATCTGTGTGAATATTGCAACACAGGCCAACTTGCATGAAGTCTGTGACCATCATGTCAGGGAACTAACTGCTCTATACACAGCCACCAGCAACCGAGGTTCCCAAGTTAATTTAAGGAGAGAAAAGTAACAAGGTTGATAAATAGTAGAGGCTTTGGGCAATTATGAATTTCTTGAATTGAAAACTAATAATAGTAGCCACTTTCATATTTCTTACATATCTTTCCTGGGTTTGATTATGCAAATATAACCAACATATGTGTACATTCTTCTTTCCTCCCTTTTCTACATAAAAGGTAGAGCACTATTCACACTTTTATTTGCCTTGCACTTTTTACATAATAATATATCCTAGAGACTTTTCCCTATCAATATGTAAAGAGCTTCCTCAGTTAATTTACAGACATGCTAGGCTAAAATGTTCACATCCTAATCTCTGGAACCTTTCACCGTGTGCCCTAATATGCCAGAGGAAAATTACGTTAATAAATGGAATTAAGGGTGCCAATCAGCTGGCCTTAAAATATTTTATTCTGGATAATCCTGTGGGCCCAAGGGTCCTTTTAAAGGAGGCAAAAGAAAAGGTTAGAGTGATGTGATGTGATGTGATGTGATGTGATGTGATGTGATGTGATGTGATGTGATGTGATGTGATGTGATGTGATGTGAGAACAGCTCCACTGGCCATTGTGGGCTCTGACGCTCAAAAAAGAGACCATGAGCCATGAAATGTGAGCACCCTCTAGACGCTGGAAAATCAAGGACACTGATTTTCCCCTAGAGCCTCCAAAAGAGAACATAGTCCTCCAGATGTATTAAGATAATAAATATCTGTTGTTTTAAGCCAATAAGTTTGGGATAATTTGCTAAGCAGCGATAGAAAGCTACATGTGCATATTCCATAGTTTATTTAATTAGTCCCTCATTGGTGGACACTTAGGCCATTTCCAAACTTTTGGAATTACATAGATTTTTAGAGTCGACAAATGACATCTCTATGACATAAATTCAGTCTCTTGCTTCTAAATCCACAGCTCACATAAAGTTATTATGTGAGGCAACATAATAAAATATGTTGCCTCACATAATAACTTTACTAACTTTCTTTGCACTTATTGAGCTTTTATTTTATGCCATAATGGGCTCCAGAGACCAGCAGCAAATTTCCTAAAAAAGAGTGTGAGTGAAAGCATCTAAGTTTCAACCTTATTAGATCCTCCCAGAACCTGTCCCAGGTCTTCGGCTCCATATTTTTATTATTCTGTACATAGAGAGGCCACGAGGTATGGAACACTAGATTAAGAGTCCTTGAGTATGATTTAAGCTCTGTCTTACCTTGATAAACCACTTCACCACTGTCGGTCCATAAACATATGTTTCTATATTTATGTCTTCCTTTAAGTTATGTACTTAAAACGGACTATGTGATCTTCAGAGGGCCTGTCCAGTTCTATGATTAAATATCATTTGCATGGCAATTCTGTTAGAAGAACAGGGTATAAACACCCTCACTTCATGGATGGAAGAGTTAAGATCAAGAAAGGATGATCGCAAGTTTTATTTTTTTGTTTGTGTCATGGGTTGGCCAGGGGTGGGGGACAGGGGATGGTTTGCCAGTCTTCTTTCTGCCCCCTAGAATTGCTCTGGGGGTGGGTTCACTGTTGACTTGAGCTTCATTCCATGCAGTGATTTTCCTTGTAGTCCCTGACAGGGACATGGGCAAATGTACACACGTGAGCATGTGAACACCAGCTCCCTTGTTGCCACTCAGAAGCTCTGTTGATAATGGAGAAAGAAAGAAAATTTCTGACTCACACTTAGGCTCTGGGCAGTGAAGCCACATATTCCGGATGGCAAATTTGCAAGAGTGACACACACATGTTTTCTGTGTTTAGTAATGGTGGCCTACGTGCAGAACTGAGCTCTGAGACTGAGCATTTTTTATCTGGGGGCAAGTGTATTATTTCATAATTATCCCATTTACATTCTAATGTAAGAATTAGAAGATGCTCATCCTTACTTTTTTAATAACACTTCTAAACCAGCCTGAGACTGAATCTCCTTCACTCTTCAGTGTAGAAAATATAGTTACTGAGAATCTGAAAGGCAGATTTGCACGGTACACAGACGGCACTCCGCAGTTTCCCACTACCCATATAACATGTACCAGGGCAGGATTCATGCGTTAAAATCCAATGTGACCCAGTTTAAATGTCCCAGAGCAGCCCCCTTTGTCCAGCTTTTATCCTCTCCGTAGAACCCTACTGTTGCAAAGCAAAAGGCTACAGCTTTATTTACACAGTGCAGCGTTATGCAAGTGAGCAAGCATTAATCATAAACGTTTCCCAAATGAACCTTTACAAATTAACACCATTAACTTTGCCAGGGGCCAGGCATTGCAGTCCAGGAAGAATATATCTTTCCAGCTGAGCCGCAGACACTAGCACAAATGTGTGCAGCGCACGAGTCCCTGGGTCCTTCTTAGACCCTTTCTCGCCCACCCCAGCGTGGTTCAGCTGAGCACCGCAGGAGCTCACCCTGCGCCCCTCTCCTCTCCAAGGAATGAATGAGTGCCCTGCAACTGTGTGACCGGAAACTGATAAGCCTGACTCTGAATTTTTACTCTTTTGCTGGGAAATACATTTCTAACGTTAAGCCTTTCCAGAAAAAAATAGGTCTTCTATACTGTTCTGTAGTTAATTTTAAATAAGACTCAAAATTATTAGGCTTTTGGTTTTTATACAAAAATACTGGAAACTAGCCCTAACATAAGCCTTTAAAATATTTTTCAGGCTAACATTTCTCTTTTTGGCTAGGTTTTAAGTTGGCAGATCTCAAATAATTTCTAATTTGCATGTTAATTTCAGTTCCTTGGAGAAGAGTAGCAGAAGGATAAAGGAAACTGATATTAAACAGATTCTTACACAAAATCAGGACAATCTGATTCTCTTAAATATTTAAAAATAGAGATGATCTATTTATTATTATTATTATTATTATCTTCACAGTACAGTTAATCATAAATGCTCATAATACATGACTGAGTCCTTTATGCTTTACAGACGAACTGGGATGAAAGCATAATGATACTCTAATTCAGGAACTGACCCTGAAATTCTGACTCAGTATTAATACCACAGTTGAACAAGTATGAAATACAGTGTCCCTACTTGGTGACTCCACAGACTTAAATTTACAGCATTACCTTGTGAAGAGCATTATAAACTTCAAATCACTTATAGTTTATATTTGTTTTATTTCATCTTTGTGGTTCCTCTAGGTTTTTACTTTTGTTGTGTTTTTTCAATGCCTTTGTTTCGGTTTTCGATTATCCAGTATCTCTAGCTCTCATTTTAGCTCGCTGTTCCTTTTACTCTGTTCTGTTCCCTCACATCTCAAGACAAGGAGGTGACCTGATGCCATTTCATTGATTTACGTTAGACCGATTAAGCACATGTGGATGGGAAATGAAAGGTTTTCTTAGAATTTAAAATGGCAGCGGGACCAACCACTTGTATGAGCATTCCGTGGGTGACCTGAGTCTCTCTCC